ACTTTGTAAACAGCAGAGTCGCATGTATTCCTTTCATTGTGCTTATTCAGTGGGGTCAGTGCTGACCATGTCAAGGAGCTGTCTGAGCATCTCCAGAGGGACATAAAACTCTCCAGAGCTGTTTCCAGTGAAAAGAGGTGAGAGAGAGAAGCTGGAGCTGATGGTGCAGAAGTAGTAATCAGGGTCCACTGCACTGCTGTCAGGGAGGTATGAGCCTGAGGGGAGCAACGGTATCTATTTAAAGCATGTCCAGTGAGTCCATGGTGTTTTCTGACAGCCCAAAAGGCTCGTTGAAACTTACTTTCAAAGTACTGTGCAGAGGGATCAGCCGGTGAGCTAGGGGTCACAGCTGCTCTTTCTGGGCTGGCCTTAAAACAAAAAGAAGTGTGAAAACATATGGCTGTGCTTCCTCACCTCTACGCAGGTCATAGGTGGGTCATCTCACTCTTCATACCTGCTGTGACACACTGGACACCAAGGAGCCTTTTCGTCTCAGGGAGTCTCCCTGACACACGGTGAGCAAAGAGCTGGGCAGGATGGAGCGGAAGTCGTTGAAGGACCGTCGGCGGGTGGCATCACTGTCATCACCCGTAGGCAGCACAGGAGCAACTGGTCGAGGGAAGAGCTTGGAGAGAAGTGGCTCATCGGTGTTGCTGTATCGGCCAAAAGCTCGAGCCACACCAAGCAGAGTGGGCACAGTGTACCTGCACAGGTATTCTGTACGGAAGAACGTACAGAACGTAGAAAATATAAATAGCTAGTAACACACAGAGGAAGCATTAGAGTTTGTTATATTGCCACCTTTATCATGAGCCTCGGGATTCTTGCAGCTGTCTTGCAGCACCTGCATGACGTCCATGACAGCCTCCAGGATCTGGCAAAGATGTTGCATCATCACATCCACATCAGTAAAAATATTAGGCTCATTTAAGGTGAATTTTGCTTTGCTAAAAAATGAGAGACAGGTGGTTCTTTCTGGGGAAGTGACAAAAAACTGCAGTAAAGTTGGACAGCAGTCCAGAAAGTCTCATCAACATCTATCAAATCCTAAAATGACCAACAAAATGTTATCCATTAGTCCCATCTTTAACTTTTAGTCAGTCTCAAATGAAATGCCCTATATGTGTGAATCATGACATGCTGTTTAGCTCCTACATATCCTCACAGTTGATTGACATTTCAGACATAACTAGACCGTCTGAGCTTAGCATCAGTCTGTACAGGTGTTATCCAGCTCAGTTAATACCCTGGGATATCTTACTAAGCTTCTCTAGGCTCATAAAAGTTGCCATCAACAACAAGTCTTTAACTTAATCTGTTAACAGAGTAAACCTTATTATACACAAAGGATAAAAGCAGACCATTTACAATTAAACAAAAAGGAAAAGTTAACAGTACATAAAACCTGATGTGGTCCCACATTTGAACGACTGATTCTGCAGAGGCCTGGCTCGTCTCAAACCAGCCTAAAATAAAACGTGACCACAGAACGGTACAGACACACACACACCTGTCCTTGTAAGGTCTCATCACGCTGGGCGACATCGGAGAGCAGTGTTACAAGACAAAAGCTGAAGTTCTCTGCAACAGGAAGGGTTTCTGCAAGGCAGGAAGTTCACACAAATAATATCAAAATACAACAGTGTCAAATATTTTAGCAGGCAGAATAGCCCATAGTTCTATCAGTGAACATTATAGGGTACGTTAAATATCGCCGCGGGTCTATCTTTACCTCGAGCTTTGTGTTCTGAGTTTTCTTCAATCCACTGAACTTTAGGAAGCCCTTTAAGCAACCCAAGCAGGTAGGGGACAATGGCATCTCTGTGCTGCAACACAAGTATTCCATAGCTTGATATATGGGTTACCACTGCTACATCAACGACCTGTAAATGTACTAACAGCACAAAAGTCTCATGAGGTGGAGGAGTTGGTAGGTGAAATGTTCACCTGCAGGTTTGACTCGACTAGAAAAATGCCCAGTGCAATGACGGCACCCCTCCTCCTCTCATCCAGCTGGAAGACTCCTCTGAAGTCTGCAGGGCACATGCACTGGAGCTTCTGGACCTGTGGAAAACCAACACACGGTGCTCAGCTACCATTACCTTTAACGCCTCTAGACTTCAGTGAGCTACGTGGACAACACAGTCTTTTCTAAAAGTACAGAACCAACCTGCCCGCAAGGATTAAACAGGCACATCATTCATGCCTAGTTCCATTGGCAATAATGACTGTGTCGGCCTAAATGGACTTCAGGAATGAAGCCAAACAGCAGCCTCTGGCATTAATTAGCTTAATGCTAAAGAGTTAAGACCAGAGGGGGATTAACAACCACTTAAACACACTAGTTCCTACATGTTGATCCAGCACCGGATGCAGAGGATGTTTTGAGCTGATCATTGGGCATGAGGAGAGTTTTGTTCAGGTTACATCTGCATTGGAAAAAATATCAACAATGGACCTTAAGAAATAAATATTCCTGTCAAGTCTGGTTTGTTTTTCAGTGCCAAAACAGTAATGAAATGTGTTTTCAACCAGCTGTGCGCCAGAGCTCAACCTCAACCCGCTCGGACACCACCAGCCAGTAAATGTTGAACCAACAGGACACTTCCATTACAACCTGATTGTGTAGCCAGTAAAACACAAGGTTGTTCTGACTCCCACTGACAGGAAGTCACTGTATAAACAGTGAGGCCCACGCGCTAAAGCACACCCAGTTGTTCAGAAACTAATCTCTGTAAATATGTATAGGGTTAGAACACAGATTATTAGCCAATCAATCAATCAGTTAACCAACTGAACATGAACAGGCATGGATGCCAAACATTTGCTGATGCCAGGTGCAGACATGTGACAAGTTGACGCCGTTCTTTGTCACGTTCATAATCACCTTTATTGGCCAAGTATGTTACACACAAGGAACTCGTTTCCAGTACAGAACCGAGGCAGCCATCTGTGGCACCAACTCAACCAATGGAAACAAGTCATGTGAAGACTCACTTCGGGGTAAATAACAGTTTTTCACCATTTTATTGAGAAAACAATCAGCAGATGAATCAATAATGATTAATGGTTAGTTGCACCTTACATTAGGTTGATGCTTCTGATTACACTGCTCTTCATAACAAGCTCGTATGTAGACAGTAAAAAGCAGAAGGCTGGTCTCTGAACAGCTTCCACAAACTGACACAACAAACCATGCTCATTGAGCTGCATTACTGCTTCCACAGCTCTTTCATAACAGGACTTAGTTCCCGTTTAACATTTCCCCAGTGAAAGAACAGCCATCACAATGTCCCCAAGGCTGAGGTGACTTGTTGCATTTAGACCTGCAATTATTAGTTGATTAATCAATTAGCCCACACAAAACTAATCTGCAATGATAGTGGTAAAAATGAATTTCTAAGGTATTCTGTAAAAACCCCACCTGTGATCCTGTTCCACCCAACACAGTACGAGACTTTCTGGTTTTCATTGTCTTCTGTGTCAATGAACTGAAATGCTTGTCACACAAAAACAATCCTATGACGCCACTTTGTGTTTAAGGAACCTGGTTTCTTAGACCAAGTAGCTGCAGCTATAATTCAATCATGTAAAACCAAGAAAAGCAGCTAATTATCACATTTAGAATTTAAAAAACCTTAGTTACCTAAATATTTGCCCATTACTCTTGAGCTGATCAGTGAATCCAGTAACTAACTGATGCATCTGGGCTGCAGTCGGATTAAATGGCACAGGACTGCAGCACTTCTTGGTCGTTTGGTAAAGACTTCGTCGTTTTAGACTTTTCCTTTATAATAATTGAATTATACAGTTTGTTTATGTTAAAATCCCACCAGCCACTGTCTCCTATTGCATCCTGTATGAATGAGGTAACAATATTAATAAAGGAAGCACATTTCCAAGGGAACAGGAACACGTTTGGGACGATGTGACAACTTTCCTTCCTTTAATGTATCAGGTCATCAACAAGCCAAAGGAAGGTTCATTAAGGATAAACCTGCTAACGTTAGCCGCCGTTAGCCACATACTAAAGCTGAGTCGCACTAAATCACAAACTGAACACGTAATTCACATATTCATACAAGACGTTTACGGTGTTCAGATTCCCTGTAAATACCACACATGTAGAAAAACGAAGCTGTGTCGAGACCAATGTCAGAGACTAACGACAGGAGGTGTTAGCCTGGTGCTGTCGTTAGCTATCGCCATGTATAACGGTACCTTTTCTAACGGCGCCTGCCGGTGAGCTGCCAGCGACCGGGCCAAAGACAAGACGGTGCTGAAGTAAAAGCCCCTGGTTCCTCCTCCATGATGAGACATTTTTAAAGGATGCCTTAATTTAAACAAGCATTTTCTATCATTCGCCCCGAAGAGGAGTCCGCAACTGACAACTACGGCAAGCGAATGGGACAAAAATGCGCCGCAAGGTCACCATGCAATCCCCCCCAAACAATTACTATAAGTAGAATATATGAATCACGGCCCTGTTTTCATCAAACTGCTAAAAGTTAAATTGTACAATCCTTCCAAATAATTTTCTGAGGCAGTCGAGTCTCAGAAAGTTATTTCTATCTGTACACACTGTGGTGGTTTAATCTGTAACAAGGCATCACATTTTATAAATGTTTTGTTTGTACACTGTTTACCTGTAAAGCAACTAGTAAATAAAGTTCTCAAATAAATAAAATACAGTAAAGCACACATTATTTTGATATGAAATACAAATAAGCAAAGATGATACTTAAGTAGCAGTACCTCAGAATTACACTTAAGCATAGTACTCGAGTACATTTGTTACAACCCACTGCTGCAGAAATGAACACATCAATGTCAACAGTCAGATCCAATGTTTATTTGTGATCATACATTCGAATTAATTAGACTGAAGGCACAGCGCTGGGTTTAGTACCAGTGTTTTTAAATATGAAAACCCCAAAGACATTCAACTATCTCCGCCAGCTGAAAAACGGAGCTCAAAGTAAACATTGTGCATCCTAGACAAAGATTGTGGTGCACTGCATTTAAACCAGGAGGACAAACTACAGTCTATAACATGGCATTAGTTATATTGTATCTAAATGCAGCAGTTGGCACATTGGGTGAAAGGCAATTGAAGTTACAGCACAGTTAAAAGAAGAGAATCTGAAAGGCTGCAATAAAAGCAAAGCTAATCACTCGTGCTCTGTGGAATGCAATGAAAGGCACCATTAATGGCATTTCTCAAAAAAGCACGTCTAAGCAGCAAAGGCAATTTAAAAATTAGAAGCAAATAATTCCCCAAAACAGTTGAATTAATAAGATATGAACATCTTCAACATCTGGCACCACTGCAGCGTGAGAAACTAAAAAACCATCCACAGTGAAGAAGTACATAAAACATTCAATCATTGTTAATCTCCAATAAACCATGTAACACAAAGGCACTTTTTTAATAACACTAACAAATTAAGTGATTTAAAGAATCGCCACCACCTCAACCATTGTTTCGTAGCTGAATACACATCATTAAAAACTGCAGCCTACAGATCTGTATTGATTCATTTGACAATTGTGATTGAAGGCATTTAGTTCTTATTCCTCTGCAGCATGTGAACATTAATTCTTCCAACAGGTAGTGAATAAAATAATAGTTTTGAACAGTCTTTTGAAAAAAGAAACTGGAATACTTGCATATAAGAAGGGCTTGGAAGTATTTGTTATCTAATAAAATCTGAAGCCAGTACACCTGAATTTCCCTCGAGATCAATAAAATATCCATCTACCTACCTCTGCTCAAGTATTTTTTTGTCTGTAGTGCTTAAATCACATTATGTCAGGTGAGGTGATGGTTTCTCTTTGATCAAATACACACAGCACTAGTACAACTCAACTCAAAGCGCTGCAGGTCTTTGTGCAGGTCTAAATAAACGCCCTGTTCCCCTCCCTGAGGTCTTAAGGAACTTCCCCCTTCTGGAACTTTAGAAAAAAGACCAAGTGTAAGCAGTGCTCCTGCAGCTTCTTTCACGCAGACAGTGCTTCCACTCGCAACATCTGTGTTATAAATAAAATACCCTTTCTTTCTGAGAGGTAGATATTAGAACCTAGAAGCAGGGTTTCAGGAGATTGGTTTGGGACGTGGCCTGGTTAACAACGTGACTGGCCAGTCTCACACTCCTGCTTGCGCAGCACTGTGGTGTTCACTTCAGTCCGTCTTCCAGACTATGTTCAGAACCTTCACGACTTCCTCGTAGATAACGAAGACTATGGCCACATCCATGCACACCCGACCCAGCCGGGGAACAGTACCTTTGTAGAACCTGAGTGCAATAAAAGGAGAGTACATTCTGTTATCTTTGGGCAGAGCCAGGTTTGCTGTTGCCCACTGCTTCCAGTCTTTCTGCTAAGCTAAGCTAACTGTTTCCTGACCATAGCTCAACTTTGATAGAGTGGTTAATGTACTTCTAGTTCACCAGCTTGTTCATAGGGTGTCACCTTTTGGCTGTGAGGAACTCGGCATAAAGGCAGGAAGCATTAGTCAGGTGTTGCTAGACAGAGAGAGTGAAGTGTTTGACTGGGATGCTACTCTGAGGTCAACTGTTGGCTGTGTAGAGAAGAGGGCTTCTTGAATAAACAATACTGAAGATCCTTGGGCTGCTTGACTCAGCAGCTTTAGGATTACGTGCAGATGTGAGAGTGTGTTTCTCAAATATAGAACTGTTCCATTAATTCTTACTTGCTGGTATACAGGCAGATGCATTCTGGTGGGTAAACAGTGTGAATCCTTCACAGGCACAAGGCTAAGTCCCACTGTCAGTGTTAGCAGGCTGCAAACTCTCACAGCCTAAATTAAACATGCAGACTGTCATCCCCCCATCGATCATATCAACCCTTCATGTGAACTTACGCCAACGCCCCCTCGTGCCTCATGATCTTGACGGCACAGTCTATTGTGCTTTTGTACTTGTGCGCTTCGAGCCCCTGTTGAATTACACAGAGCACATATTAGCCACTACACTCAGGGTTAAATTATAAGAAGTCGACATGTTCTGTAACCAACCTGCATTCTGGTCTTAATGACGTCCAGGGGAGTGTTTCCAAACACACTGGCTGCACCAGCAACAGCACCAAACATTCCAGTTACCAGAGGGTTAATGGATTTGTTGGGGTCATCGCCTTAGTGTTGGGGAAAAACTAAGTTGAGTCTGTTTCTGCATTTGTGGTTGCATGTGCATTTAAAGGAAATACTCGCACACCTTTGTACCAGTTCCTCAGTGAAGTCATGACATAGAAGCGGATGGCCTGGTTGGAGCCTTGCTTCAGTACAGTGGCAGTTAGGCCCTGGTACGTCCCCTTCAGTCCTGCAGACACATCAGCAGCTTTCACACCTCTCCACCTTCATCTCAGAGTCACCAACAATTTAATTCTCAGGAGCAACAAGGTGGAGGCTAAATAACAGATGTGTTATCTCAAATCCATGAGAAAGGCTTGATGTAATGTCATGTACAGCCAAATCATTAAGTGATGGAGATGAAACGGGAGGTGGGAGTATAATGTCCCTTACCTTGAGTTCTAATAATCTCCCTCACCCCATGGAAAAATCCCTTGTACTTTGGGTTTGCCGACGTCTGATCGTGGATGAATTTGACCTAAAACGACAACAAAAAGTGTCAAAGTGCCCTTAAATCTGAGGCATCGAGCGCTTTGAAAACTAATTCTACAAGTAACGCCACCGTGAGGCAAAGCAGCATTATAGATATTTGATGTTGTGTTGGAAACAGTTTTATCACAGTCTCCAGAATCATTTTTAGGAAAGCAGACGGCTGGACCGTGTTAAGATTTTCCTGGGGTCTGGTTTTTAGTTCAGCACAGCCAAACATTTCCCATTTTCATTTTGTTGTGGACTGAATCTGTCACTTCTGTCTGAGCTACTTATTTATTCATCTGTAACCTCTGACACCATGTGTTGTCTACTGCTATGACCCTGAAACAATATGATCATTAACTCGTAAGTGACGGCAGCTCTAATGAGAGAACGCAGTAAAATGTGTGTACGTTATCAAAATAACACTACTCATTTTTCTGGCACTATATTTTGCCTCCCATTCATCGAGTAGACACAAGCCAAGGCTGCTCCGTCTGCGCTGGATGTGTAACGCAGCAACTGTTTGCAGTACAACCTGTCTAATGTGTAACAAAGTAGGACTTTTGCTTCCCACATGTGGCAACAAAGTGGTAATGCAGCTTCAACAAATATTTTTACCTTAATCGTCTCCATAGGACAGACGACGACCACAGCCTCTGCGACTCCAGCTCCAAGACCACAGAGGAACCCTCGCTTGCTGTCTAGTTTGCCGCTCTCATCACGCATCTTATTACTGAGGAACTCAAACATCCCAAACCTGGAAGAGCAATGGAGAATTAAAACACTGGAAGCAATCCATGTCTGTAATAATGCACCTTATATAGGCTTTATAAGCTGTAACAATCAGCGATATGAACCGTTACTAAGCCCTTTACTAATACATTTTAGATATTATTACACAATTTACTTTTTGTTGCCAGGTTGTGAAAAATCCCTCTGAGTGAGTGGACCACTGCTTCAACAAAAAGCTATTTACTAACAAATGATCTTAGTTTGTAACTGCACACCTGACCGCTTATTAAAAAGAACGGAACCTACAGGAGCATGAATTTATTACCAAACTGTAGCTGCAGGACTATGGACTGTAGAAAAGTACGACCTGGCAACGCACCGCTGTTCTCATCAAAGCTGAAACAATTGGTCAATGTATCTCGTCATGAACATTCTCCCCTATTTTCTGACACTTTATAGACCAAACCATGAAACCGATCTGCAGACGGTCGATAGTATTGATTATTCATTGGTTGGTTTACAACTGATGTACAAAACGGTTTCATCTTATTTGGGCTTATTAGCAATTAATCAGTTGTGGTTTCTGCTAAACTCTTTGTTGCACACAATGTTAGAAAACAGCCAAAAAATGACCCACGCACATTAAAATTATAATAATATTCAACAGAAAAGCAGCAAATCTTCACATTTGAGAAGCTGGAACCAGAGAATGGTTTAACGATTAATTTATTATCAAAATTAGTCAATTAATTTTCTGATTGATTCAGCTGCAGAACTCAGAAACAAAGAAAGCAGCACCTAATGATCAGTACAACCTGGAATCATCATGGAGGTGTATTACAGTGGGAATAAGGTGTTGCACATTTATATAGTGCACGATGGAGCTCTTGGTGAAGAGTGTCTGTGCACGTGTGTGTTGGGATGTGGGGCTGCGGTACCTGACAGCTGCTTTAGGTATGGAGCCGTAGAGCAGAGAGCTCAGACCTCGGTACAGACCCCTCACGCCATGACCGCGCACAGTCTGCTTCACACAGTCGACTGCAGGAGCAACACAGGACACCAGAGAAGAAGAACACATGAAGAAGAAACAGGTCAAATGAAGAAGAGGGCACGTTACAAAAACTAAACACTGACTGGATCCAAAAGAAACGTTAACATAATCAAACGCTGCCCTGTTATGAAACTGTTGCTTTAGCAGTGGAGGTGGTAAAAGGTAAGAATACTGCGTTTGTGTACTGCAGCCGGAAACAACAGCGTCACTCCGAGTTTCTGCAGGCAAACACAGTCTGTGCCAAAGTTCACAAGCGCTTATCAAACAGGTAACAAAGACCAACTTACTACGCAAATACACACCTGTTTCATGTTTACACTCGAATCTACAACCACACAACATCTGAAGTTACTACGACTTGTTAGTCAAGCAGGAACAGAAAGGCCAGGTGTGCTGCTGCTGATTAAAACCAACATCAATCATGACTCGGCTGCTACGAGGAAACCGGCCAGTCCTGACGTGTTGGCCGAACAGATCGAGTTTGGCTCCGTCACCCCAGAAATAGGGGATGGTTATTTTACTTCAGTGGTTTATTGACACTAACACACTTTCTATTCTTTGTATTTGTACTTTAAAGTTTATAAATGAGACTTTGTGAGAGGTAGAAACTCCTGGACCCATTGCCCCTGGTGGTTTCACAGTCACTAAGCTTTATCAAGACAGAAAACCAACACTGTTTGACAGTTTAAGATAGAAATGTATAAAAACACATTCCATCAGGAAACAAGCAGCAGCTTCACTTGACACCCTTTGGTTTGTGTATAAGTGAATGAGCAGGACACATTTAGGGAGTAGTTTTGAGAAACATGCTCATTTCATTTTCTTGATGTTCTATCGGTGGCAGACAGTTCATTAGGTAAGACAGACGCGAGTGGACTGCAGTATGTAAAGGAAACTGATCACCTCTGACAGCTACCAAATGAAAGTTAGTTCCACAACTATTCAGACAGTTCCGGTAAAAACACAGGCCCTGAAGACAAACTCACCAATTCCTCTGTATTTGGGAGGATCTGCCTTTTCATCCAGCTGCAGCTGTGTCTTCACGTACTCTGTGGGGAAGGTGATGCAGATCTCTATGCCTCCGGCTATTCCCCCTGCATTGTCAGAGAAACACTCGTTACACACAGAATGGTTTTGAAGAGCCAAGAGCCATTTTTCTGATTCTTTCATCAACCCCACACACGTGCACTTCAGCCAGACACCGAACACCCAGAGACGGCACGTATACACACAACCGGTCGTCGACTGCAAAAATGTTCCCTGTCCCTAGTGTATTTACAGTGTTGTGCTCCCAGAGGGATTCTGTATGCACCTCCATTTTACCCTCAACTGTTTCAACCCCTGGATTAAACAGATAAAGGCTGAAAATACACCTCACTCTGGTTTAATAATAGAAAATGAAGCAATCAGCTTTATTTTTTGAAAGGACAAATTAAAGAGATTAAAGAAACGAATAAACTCAAGATACAAGTCAATCGACAGAAAGTAATGGGCAACTATGTTCCAGATGAAATGGCTGTAAAGGAAACGGATAAGAAGATGTTCAACTTTTCTCTGTTTACGTCGTATTAAACTGAGGATGTGTGGGTTCTGGACCCTCATTATTATTTTACAGGCTTAAACAAATGATGAGCAGATTAACAGGTTATGAAAATAGCCGCTGGCTGCAGCACCACAGGACATAACTTCCTGTAGGTGCAATGTGTGTAGTCTCAGGGGAGTCTATGGCCGATGCAGGGCGGCATGCCACACAGCGTCTGCGGCGGAGACCAGCTCCACCTTAAGCTCCTGACTGTCACATCTGCAGTTGAACAGCAAACACGCAGCCGCGCCTGATTGGCTCAGCTGAGCTCAGCCTGATGCTGCCTACTGATACTCCCCTTGGCGCTGCTACAACTCAGGGGGCGTGTAGGGCGCAACCTTTCATCACCACACTACCAACACACAGCAGCAGTCAGACACTGCCTGTGTCAAGTACAGCAAAGGAAACCTGAGCCGTCTGTCTGCACAGGACAGAGGTGTAGCTTTCATTCCAAATGATAAAACTGTTTGAAATGTTATTCACTGCAAAGTCAATGAGCTTCTCCTAAGAGCCGCAGGTCCTGAAAATTGAGTAGCTGCTAAAAAAAAAACCCAGCTTAGTTTTTCAGTTGTGGTAAAATTCAACTGAAAACTGAAGGTGGAAAAAGAAAAAGCTATAATTTGAGCAGTAGATGAGAAGTTATTTACACAAGCTTGATGAAAAATGAGTTGATGCTGTCCTTCTAAAGGCCATGCAGAGAAATCCAACACACTCACATGCAAGTCAGACCTGCTCGTGCATGTACAGTCACCAAATCACAGTCTGACAAAACACTGTTTCCACTCAAACACCAGGCGCATTCTGGCTCCCACCGGGCTGTTACGACACTCCCAGCATTCCTCTGGCTAGAGACCGGCCTCACAGCTGTAGCTGTGTCTACAATCCAAGCCCCAGGCCACGTCATCACCGTCACCATCAGCTCACGAGCCTCTGTGTAGTACCTGCATTATGGCCCCATAATCAAGCTGGAAAAAGACAGAACAGGTTTATCGAGTCCGACAGCGACAGTGCTGTAGACCTAGCAAACAGCTCACCTTCATCTAGAGCTCAGAAAGGAGCCTCAACGTCTTCGGAGTAAATTACAAATGACAGAGGGTTTGTTGGCATGTGGCTCTACAGCTTCATCACAGCTGCTCCTGCGTCTCCTGTGGAAAGTGCCTGTCATGTTTTTAACTCGCCGTAACAATCATGTCATTATTACATTTGTAACATTCAGACACCAGACAGGACTCCGGTGGCGCCACTGTGAGGGCCGGTTCTTCATGTTCTGAACTTAAGGCTACAGGTGAACTTGGGTGATGTTGTGCTAGTGACTGTCATGAACTAGATAAAGCTGGTGCAAAATGAAATAATCAAAATATTCCGGTATTATCTGACACAGCTGGTGCAAAATGAAATAATCAAAATCTTCTGGTAATATCTGACATTGAAATAGTACTGAGACTGTTAGCGTAGCTTAGCATAAACACTGGAAACAGAGGGAAACCGCTAGCCTGGCTCTGCCTGAAGGTAACACAATCCGACTACCAGCTCACCAGTAAACACATTTACCTCAAAGTGTAAATGGAAGGCAAAGCAGCAACTTCCTGGAGTCTGGTCATCACTGAACAGTGGAGCCTGAAGAAAGTCACTACCCCCGACCAAGAAACCGTCCTGCACAACACTCGGTCTGACACAAACTGTCACTTTTACCTTTTGGTTTTATACAAACCAACGAGATGGTTTGTTACAGACCCGGTCAGCCATGTCCACCTACGCCCAGTCTTTGTGCTAAGCTAAGCTGAAGGTCCTCTGGCTTCAGCTTCATACTTAATGTGAATAAACAAATGTGAAACTGTTGCCTAAAATGTGCTGCTTTAGCATTTTGTGCCCACAGGCACAGACACTGTATGTATAACCAAAATAAAGGAACCATCCATAAGAGTGAGTTCACAGTTCACTGACACGTTAACACCGAGCTTGTCAGGTTCAGTGGGGACTGGTGGGTTTCTAAAGCCCTGGCATGTGGCCTGGTTACTCTCTGGTGACTTGTCTAAAGCAGCCCTGTCACCCTATTGGCTCACACCTCTATCAGGACACACACGATGTAATGGCAGTGAGCTATGTTCATCTGACTTTAGGTTGCATTTACTTATCCATATTAAGACTATACTACTTAAGAAAACACCAGCGGCATCCTGCCCAAGACGGGTTTAATGCAGATCCATGTTCAAACAACAAACGGCCTGTGGCATCTTCTAAACGTCCTGAACACGTCATGTGTGCACAAACAGTGTGCTTTGTCGCCACGGCTCAACATGGAGACCACGCACTGCTACATGACCAGGAAGCAACCAAACTGCTGACAGTGATCTACAGCTGGGTGACAAGTGAAAGAACAAACTCTTATTGGAGCAGAGTCTCCAGAGCCTGGTCAGGTCTCCTCTGTTGGAGGAGGAAACGTCCTCCTTCCAAACCAGATCCCCTCACTGTGTCCGACCCACTGTGTCCAACCCACTGTGTCGTCCTCATGAAGCCATTCAGTGACCTAGAGCTGCAGCCATGAGTCAGTTCACTGGTAGAAAATGAACCTCAGCTATTTAGAAGCAACAGTCACCGACATGTTCTGGTTCCACCTTCTTTAATGTGAGGAGCTGATGCTTTTCTTTGTCAGACATGAGAATCAGCTGAGTCTCTGTGGATCTGCTGGTTGGACACAAGGAGACGTGTGGAGACGCCACCTTTGGCTCTGGAGACTCACAGTGGGACTTTATCCCAGTGTCTGACATTCTGGGGACAAACAGATCAATCAGATCATCAGGACAATGATCAGCTGATTGATCAGTGACCCTTCTGGTCGTACTTCCATTCAGTCTCTATAACAAGAACCAACAATTATTTGAACTGATCAATATCGTGAGCATCGACGTGGCTGCCTGCTCCTTCTAACTTGTGATCAGCCTGCAGGACCCGGAGCATCTGTCACTGATTGACTAGTGAAACAACAAAGCAGTCAGAGTTCACATTGCCTGTTTCTTTGAAAGGGGTCTGTGCTAAAGTCCACAAGTCCCAGGACAGACCGACCTGTCCCTGTCCACCCTCCGGCCCCGTGCAAAGCAACAGCTGTTGCAACCATGAAATCATTGTCCTCACAGTCTGGTAGGACCAAGAAATGAAAGTGTCAGTTTAGTTGAAATGCTGGTCTAAAACAAAGCGCTGTCTGTGTTACACTGGTCTCGTGTGGGTTTTCTCTTTACTGCTGGCTTTTGTTGTCATTTTATTTTATTTTTTTAAACTCCCTTTAAGAACAGGGTTCATGCGGTTCGACTTGAGATGTCTGGACCCTTTTAATACCACTCAGAATGCAGTTTAATACCTACTTAACTGAAGAGCAGGAGGGACAACAAGCCTTGATTTAGGTAAAGTGCATTAAGTGATTCACATTTCCCAGTGGTACACAGCAGTAAGTCCCATTATTTCTTTAATTAACCACTAAACATGACCTGGATAAGCAGCAAAACAAGACGGTTAAATGGACTGAATGATCAGGTTAATCAACTAAAAATAATCTATTTCTGATCCACATACAAACTGCAGAGGTCTGGAAATGTGGCCCTGGAGACTTTCAAGCCACTTCTTACCAAACAGACACACACTAACTGACTTCACTGCCGCTGACAGATTACACAAGACTTTTGCAAATGACATCTGGAACCTTTTGTTACATTTTGAGGAAACTGGATCCAGTTCTTTAAGACGACTCCAGCCTGCAGTGCGCGTACGTTTCATATAGGTTTAAGGTCATATTAGGGCACAGGGTTGCAGCCAAGGCCTCCTCTTATCACATCTGCAGATAACTTGCTGAAACTTGTAAACAAGTTGAAGAACCCGCCCCTGAAACTTTCTTACCTGCCAGAATCGCTTTGCCCGGGTGCGTAAGCGTGGCTTTCCCCGCCGGAGCTGCCGCAGCCAAACACCGAGGTGCGTGGAACGGGTTCACGAACCCAGGCTGTCCCGACATGACTGCGTTGTCCTGGCCTAACTTTGTTTTGCTGGGGCTGTAAAAGCACACGCGCTCGACTGCCACAAGCCCTCAAGCCCTCATGCAGTGTGCGCGCTTTGTGCAGCAGGAGTCGGTGCGAGCTGTTAGCGCCTGGCACGCAGCGCCGACCATTGGACTTTTGTTGCCGAGCCGGACTCGATAACGTCTGTACTTTGACAGTAAAGTTCCCTGGGTGGCACACACTCACTTCAGACAACATTGAGTCAGTGTTGGTCCTGGGCGGGGCAGCGCCGAAACGGAAAAGGGCCATGTTTGTCACACACGTTTAAGGAGGACCGGACTGATTCTCATGAAGCAGGCTTCTCATTCTCCAGCGGCTTGGTGAACGTTTCCGGCCGACTTTAAATACGACGTGTCGTCTGCAGGGGGCGCTGTTTCTCACCCTGCTACAGAAATAAAGAGAATTACAAACAGGAAGTCACCGCTGGCGGAGAACCAACTCCGTAGGACCACAGCATCTCTCTCATATACAGGTGCAGCTCAATAAATTAGAATATCGTGGACAAGTCCATTTATTTCAGTAATTCAACTCAAATAGTGAAACTCGTGTATTATATAAATTCAGTCCACACAGACTGAAGTAGTTTAAGCCGTTGGGTCTTTTAATTGTGATGATTTTGGCCCACATTTAACAAAAACCCACCAAATCATTATCTCAATAAATTAGAATACCTCATAAGACCTATAAAAAACATTTTTAGTGAATTGTTGGCCTTCTGGAAAGTATGTTCATTTACTGTATATGTACTCAATACTTGGTAGGGCTCCCTTTGCTTTAATTACTGCCTCAATCC